TTTGATTTTGCTTTGAATTTCTCATATATATTTAGAAAGGGTTATGCAGTTCGTTTATTATATATATATATATATATATATATATATATATAAAGAAAAAAGGAAAAACTATTCTTTACGTTTCGTCGTTTGATTTCCTTTATCAAGGAAAACGTAAGGAATTTATTTTATTTTATTTGCCTCGATAAAGTCTATCAGAGAACGAAACACATTGTTAAAGATTAGTACTTCCTTTTGTCTTAATTCATATTGTCTTTTTATTTTATATATATATATATATATATATATAATGAGATCCAAACGATTTATCTCATACAGATGATCATTTTGTCCATGGGGAAAGTAGTTTTTCCCTGGACTTATCAATGCAAATACATTTACTAAAAAAAAGTTTTTTTTTTTTTTTTTTTTTTGTAAATGTATTTGCATTGATAACTCCAGGAAAAAAACTGATTTGCCATGGACGAAATGATCATCTATAAGAAATGAATTGTTTGAATTTTATTAATTGTAATTCACTTATATGCTCTATAATAAAAAATTATATTGGGCTCTCTTTTGGAGATCGGTTTTAATATTTTATATTAATATGATCTGCCTGGAGTACTTTACCCAGGATTTTTCTTACCAGTCTTTATATATATATATATATATATATATATATATATATATATATATATATATATAAAGATAAAAACTATTCTTTACCAACGCGTTTCGTCCTCTGATGGACTTTATCAAGGCAGATATAAGGAATTTATTTAAGCTCATTTACCATGATTTATTTTATTTCATTTGTCTTATCAGAGGGTGAAACGCGTTGGTAAAGATTAGTTTATCCTTTTTGTCTCTATTCATATCTTCTTTTTACAAATATATTTTTATTTATATATGAAAGTTTACATTCGCTTGACGCCATGTTTAACGGCTATCGGGAACGAGGACACACGAAAAGAATGCGATTTATTTATTTTATTTCATTAATTAATTAATTTATTTTATTTTAATTTAAATTTCTTATTTTTTAATACTAATATAATGTATGCGCCATTTAATTATATAATTTCAAACGTCCAGCTTCTCAAAGAATAACAGAATATTGACAAAGGAATTCTAACTGTAACACAGGCACCATATTGGTTCTTGATAATGACTGCGATAGTCGAAATTATTTTCACAAAAATAACAAAATATTAACTTCGCACATTTTATCCCTAACCTCGAGGACAATACACAACATCTTATCCTAAAATTAGTAAACTATAATAAAAAAATAAAGAGTCTGACTTCTTTTAACCAGACGCTTAATGCTTAATGGTATAGCACGTCAGATTAAATGGCTGTTTCTCTATAGAAATATCGGTTCGATTTCTGTCGAGAACGCATATTTTCTACAACATTTCTCGAACATTCAGGCCGGTAAATGTAATTAATACTGTTTAATTATAAAACAAAAACAGTGCCTTTACTTAAATAAATTGTATCTATAAAAATAACGTATAAACACACACACACACACACACACACACACACACACACACACACACATATACATATATATATATATATATATATATATCAGCAATGACTACAAAAATTAATTATCACCTTAAATATAATTGATCTTAAATATTAAAATGACTTAGGAACCTTTTGGACAAACATCGTTGGCGTAACAATTTTTTACCATGAACAACGAAATACATATTTAAGGGACTAAATGAGAGAATATATATATATATATATATATATATATATATATATATATATATAGAGAGAGAGAGAGAGAGAGAGAGCTGTAGCAGCTGGGGGCAGAGGGTGCCTTGACGACCCCACAATTTTTAACAACTGTAGTATTTTTTACAGTGTTTTATTTGAACAAAATAGAATAAAAGGAAGAAATACAAGAAAGAAAAACTTTCAAAGCAACGAGGTATTGGACATTTTAAATCTAACCATGTTGGCGGCGTTTGATAAATTTAGGCTAACGTCTAAATGTTTTTTTTTGTCCCCACTCCTCAATTTTTCTCTGCTACGGCCCTGTATATATGGCATTCAACATTCAACCCTAGATGCAAGACACTAGTGGCCCGATGACGGTTCTCTGTTGGCAGCCACAAGCGGGCCACCGCTGGGCCTCTAGAGATGCGCCAGTGGTAAAATTGCCGGAGGAACACGTCGGCAGTCCGATAGCGGGCCACCAGCGGTAAACACTAGTGGCTGCCACCCAGTAGCAGATTGGTGGCTTGCGTGTAGGGAAAGCCTGTCTACATTTGTTTTCTAATCTTTCTCCTAATTTATAAATATTTTTTCGCACATCTGGGTTAACTTTGTATAAAAACTGTTCAATGTTCATGTTTTTGTTGTCAGTTGTCTTAAAGAAAAGCTTCACCCTTGCATTTTTGGGACGCTAAATTTCAAATTTATATATACATGAAACATATATGTAAAAAGGTTTCACATATCTTGATAGCACTAGAATACGCATATATTAAATATTTTATGTGCATTAATTACACTATTTACACGCGGACTACTGTCCTCATCTTTTTTGTTGTTATCAAACATCTCGATCATTATGCCCTCCGGCCTTCATCAGGTGTTTGTCGATCAGGGTAACCGACTGAAAATTTTCTTATTTAATCTTAATTTAAACTGTTCTCGTTCTATTGTCGATATCTAGGGATAACATGTCTAATTATTATTTAAAGTACTGCTCGGTTATTGCTCGACTTGCTTCCACTGTGCGCAAGTAAACACGGCCCAACCCAGGGATTGAACTCACAATTACTATGTCACCAAATTCATGAATCAACACTTTAATCCACTAGGCTAATCCCCTGGACAATAGCCTCATTCATTGTCTTTTTCTGATTCTAAGCAGGGCCAGCGCGTACTAGCCTCGACTTCCTTACCCAAGCCCGGGTGTGGGAGGCAATGCTGATTCAGAGTCCCGGACAGTACTTTGTGAACCCTTTTTAATCAACATTTGCTTTTCTATCTACATTTATATACGTTACTGTTGTAACCTAGAAAAGGTTATTAAATGAGGAATGCCCAAAACGGAGGTTGGAAATGAAATGGTAATTTTTATAACATCAACAAAATACAATACTCGCCAGCGGCCTGAAGTAGGTAAACCACTGCTAGTGGTTGACTACTTAGACAGCATATTACAATCACTTACAATAGTGTCCAACGTTTTTATGAGGATTGGGACATACCAATTAGTGTTCATAGCTACAGTATATAACAGTTACAAATTAAACTTAGCACAACTATTAAAGTATGAAAAGATTTCAAGGATTTTGACATCATCCTGGGGTTTTTTTTTGTCATTCAAATCCGTCAATTTGTTTTGCTCATGATAAGACTCGAAAAAACATTGTATATAAAATTCACTATTTTTTTCATCCATAATGTTAAATGTGTTAAATTATTCAACTTTTTAACAAGGAAAATCTCAAGTTGATGTTAAAAACTGCCGCAAAACTTTGTTGATTTATTTAAGATGGAATCATCTATCATGACATGTCTAATTTGTATTTAGATACGTTATATTTATTTCCAATTTTTCTAGCTGAATCTTTCACCTATATTTCATATGATCCATTATTGTACATAATTATTTTACAAGAATTTTCCATTTTATTTGAATACTACCTCATGAAAATTGAGATGTAGTACAGTGGGGCCCCCGTATCATAGATCGAGGGGGGACGAGACCCTTGCACCAGCCGTGATTCTAAGCATGTGTCATTTTTGTTTCCATTTTCCTTAAAACTTTCTCATTCCTTACATGATCTGTCTATGCTATACTTAACTTTCCATCGAATAAAATCTGTTTCCCCGAAATTTCTCTCCAAATGTGAGGAAGTTGCCAAACGCCGATTTCCATGAAGGAGGACTACTATTACATAGAAGTTTAGTATGGTTTTCTTTGTTTCTAACGCAATATATCTGTTTCTAAAGACCTTTTTTTGGAAGGCCTCTTTCACTATTCCAATGTGCCTTCGAATTTCACTGTCATATTTTCCGTGGTCTGACACAGACATTTAAATCTTTGTACTTGCCTTATTTTGACATCTCGAATTCGTATTAATATTCAGCAAATTCTTCAGGACAAAAGGAAAAGAAAGCACGGAGTTCGTTGCGTCCGATTCCATGAGGTGTCCCTGCCGGTAAGGATCTTCTTCCGTTTCTCTTTGGCAGGAAGCACCCAGGGGAATGCCCTCCTCTGACATTGACCGTAACCTCTTCGTTCCGCTTCATTTGGGAACGATCTCAAAGGAGATTATCTCCATTTGAATCGTCAGGCGGACGGATATTCGACTCTCTTCATCTCTCTTTCTCCCTTTCTCTCTGTCGTAGTCTCTTCTTTTATTTATCTATTTAGTCTTTTTTTCTATTCCGTTTTGCGTTAATCTTTCTTTCTTTCTTTCTTTCTTTCTTTCTTTCTTTCTTTCTTTCTTTCTAAAGCTTTTTGCGTTAACCACTCCTTTTTTCTTTCTCTTGCTTTTTCATTAATTTAAGAATTCCTTTTTCTCTTTCTTTTTTTTATGTTAATCTTTATTTTTTCTTTCTTTCCCTTGTATTAATATTTCCTTCTTTCTTTCTGTCTTTACTTTGCATTCTCTTACTTTTTCTGTAAATCGTGTTTCTTTTCTTTTTTCTTTGTTTTTTGGCTTTTTGTGTTAACCCTTTCTTCTTTTTGTCTTCCATTTTTGAAAACCAGTCCTTCTTTCATTCGTCCTTCTTTCTCTTTCTTTTTGTGATAATAATTCTTTCTTTCTTTTCTTCTTTTTTTACATTAATCTTTCTTTCTTTCTCTTCCTTTTTGCATTAACCAGTTCTTCATGTTTTTTTCTATTCATTTTTATGTTAATCATAACTTCTTTCTTTATTTTTGTATTAATCATTTTCTTTTTTCTCTTTCTTTTTTTTAATTCCTTTTTGCGCTCACGATTCCTTTTTTCTTTCTCTTTATTTTTGTAATGACCATGATTTTTCTTTCTTTCTTTTCTTTCTTTCTTTCTTTCTTTCTTTCTTTCTTTCTTTCTTTCTTTACATTTTTCTTATTTTTCTGTAAGCATCTTTTCGCCTCCCAACTCTCTTCTTTTTCAACTCTGTGTTTCTTCTCCTCGTCTTTTGTTCCTTTTTTCTTTCCTTTACTTTCTTTCTCATTTTATTCTCCCAACACCCCACTTCTCTCTCTCTCTCTCTCTCTCTCTCTCTCTCTCTCTCTCTCTCTCTCTCTATATATATATATATATATATATATTAAACTTGTTTAAACCACTTAACTTTTTTGCCGACACACACCAACTGGAATTACCCACAGCTGTTGAATCAACAACGCTAAGGAAGTAATCAACATTGGGCGACGAACTTTTGGCCTTAATGTCGAACAAAGATTTCCTTGCAAACAGTCTTTCTTCATTTCCTCATCATTATGTACTTCAGCTGACAATTTTAAGAAAAGGGACATCTCAAAAATTCATTAATTTTAGCCAGCAAGTACTCATCCAAATAACTTTCAAGGATTATGATTTGTTATGCTACTATAATAAACGGTGTGAAAGTGATATTGTTGACGGTATAAAAGTGTGGAAATGATATTGCTGACGGTATAAAAGTGTGGAAATGATATTGTTGACGGTATAAAACTGAAAATAATATTTTGGTTGTATAAAGTGTGTGTGTGGGGGGGGTGATATTATTGACGGTATAAAACTGTGGAAGTGATATTGTTGACGGTATAAAACTGTGAAAAATATATTGTTGACGATATAAAAGTGTTGAAGTGATATTGTTGACGTTATACAATTGTGAAAATGATATTGTTGACGACATAAAAGAGTAGAAGTGATATTGTTGACGGCATAAAAGTGTGGAAGTGACATTGTTGACGGCATAAAAGAGAAGTGATATTGTTGACGGTATAAAAGAGTCGAAGTGATATTGTTGACGGTATAAAAGTGTGGAAGTGATATTGTTGACGGCATAAAAGAGAAGTGATATTGTTGACGGAGTAAAAGAGCAGAAGTGATATTGTTGACGGTATAAAAGAGTAGAGGTGATATTGTTGACGGCATAAAAGCGTGGAAGTAATATTGTTGACGGTATAAAAGTGTGGGAGTGATATTGTCGACTATACAAAAATTGCTAACGAAACAAAAGTACTCTGTCCGTTCAGCGAAACAAAAAACAAGCAGATATGTACATTTTTCTGGCCTGACAATTTCGTTTAAGCATGAAACAGACTGTCGCCTCGTTGTGTTGACTTCAATGTCCACTTTTATATTTACATAAACTATATCTCAGATAGTGATCGCTTTAAGCCATAAATATAACATACCATAAAACAATATTTTATCATTATATTTTTTCCTTATAAATATTTTCGAATACGCAGGCCGATAGATGTAATAAACACTGTTTAAAGCAAAAATTAAAAATGGAGCGTCTATTTCAAATACGAGTGTCTACTATAATTACGTTTGAAGTTATAAAAATGCAGGATTAAAAATAAAATCTATGAATTCTTAAGAAATTGATTTAGTTACGTTTTGGATACGAAACTGGGCAGATATGGGCTTTCGAGAATAAGATCTTAGTGAGGATGTGTGCTTTTTTTTCTGAAAAAGGAAACACAGAACCCTTCGTAGCCGAGTGACACAGCACACTATCAAATGTGGTATATTTGGTGGGGTCAATCTTTCGCTTAAACGTGTTTTATTTAATGAAAAGGGCAAAGAATGTCTGTTAAGCATTTCAGGCTTTTTAATTGGTCTCGAACGAATAAGACGTTTTATGTCGGGTGGGAGCTTGTAAACGCCAAAATGTAATATTCCGAGTCCTTTCGACAACTGTGGATCAATTTCAAAGAAATAAGGGAGAAGCTGAGAGATATCCGATGGGACATTTATAACGTTAATGATTTAGATTTTGAAATAAAAGTGGATTCGTATGCCATGGTGGTGGTATAGATTATAGCTTCGTGTGTGTGTGTGTGTGTGTATGTGTGTGTATGTGTGTGTGTGTGTGTGTGTGTTTCTGTCTCTTTCTCTCGTGTGGTTATCTTTCTCGTTCTCTCTCGCATGGCGCTCTCTCTCCCCCCTCTTTATCGCTCTCTCTCCTCCCTCTCTCCCCCTCTCTCTCTATGTGTGTGCATATATATATATATATATATATATATATATATATATATATGTATAAGATGGCCTGAAAATTAAGTTCAAGCATGAAACAGACAGTCGCCACTCAATGTTGACCATAGTGTTCACTTTTATATTTACATACGCTCTATCCCGGACATTGAGCACTTTTACCCCTAAATATCGCGTATATGAAAGCTATATTTTTACACACACACACACACACACACACACACACACACACACACACACACACACACACACACACACACACACACATATATATATATATATAGTCGACTCTCCCGTCGAAATTCGACGTATGAGTGTCAAGCATATCAGTTCCCAGGAAACCGACAGCCTGACAACAGCACATGAGATTTAATTATAGTTGTGAAGGTTTCGTGCAGAACCATCAACACTTTTTTTAAAGGGCCGAATACAGAGACCTGGTGCACGACGTGCCACAAGGTTCTCAAACGACCCTCCGTAGGTTTTGAATTCAGAGTTTTCCTTCTCTTAGACCAGTTGCCATCCAAGGCTATAGAACCCACTCTGTACTTTACTATTTACACACATAGCTGAGGGAGAGCAAGATATATATATATATATATATATATATATATATATATATATATATATATATATATATATATATATAATCTTACTTAAACGCCATTTTAGTGAATACTCATATTTGAGTAGACGCTCCGTTTATTTAATAAACACTATATTTATTTATATTTATCTACTGGTTTTGAATATTCGAGAAATTTTATTAAAGAGATATGCGCTCTCGAATTTTGCTGGAGAGCGCATATTTTTCTTTAATATGATTTCTCGAATATTTAAACCGGTAGACAAAAATAAAGCGTCTACACGACTATGGGTACCACTAAATAACGTTTAAGTAATAAAAATCTGTTGGATTAATAAACAAAAATCCGTCACATTTATAGCATATATATATATATATATATATATATATATATATATATATATATATATATATATATTACTTTAGGACAAGGATCATATTTTATTACTAAAATAGATACAAAAGTATCTCATTTAAGAACAGGATTTAAGGTGCCCTTCGGCCGACACTTCCTCAGAAAAAGAATAAATATGTTCCTAAGTCAGACAGCGGTTTCCCTAAATAGAGTCAACCTATATTTCATCTCCCATTGTCTACACACGGGGCAGGACTTCGCATGTTAATAATAACAGTAATAATTATTTTTTACCCTTATATGTCTATTGGGTAATTGATTTCTTAATATCAGTTGTTGATAAAAAAAATTTTCTTATCAACATCTTTATTTTATATTGCCAACGATTCTGTTTTTGAGGAAGTGTCGGCCGAAAGGCGCCTAAAATCCTGTTCTTAAATGATATACTTTTGCATCTACTTTAATATATATATATATATATATATATATATATATATATATATATATATATATATATATATATATGTGTGTGTGTGTGTGTGTGTGTGTGTGCATAGATATATATTTATTTTTCTAAAGAATTAATAGATTTATTTATAATCCGCCATTTTGTTGCTTCAAATGTTATTGTAGTAGATATTTAACATTTGAAATAGACTCCCTCCCATTTTTTGTTTATTAAACAGTGATGACCGTGATAACAAGATACTGTGTGTATGATTTTTATGCTTCTTATTTAGTTGACATGTGGAAGCTTTTTGGAAATGCCAGAATTTCGGCCACTCCTCTGAGCCCGCTTCGGTTCTGGTTAATGAATAGTTTGTTTGTTTGTTTAAACTGAGTTAATTTCAAAATGCAGTAGGCGTTAACGACCACAGTGAAAGAATCACCAATCCTCTTGTCACGTCACCTGATGAAAATTGTTTTATTGCTTCTGCTTCATCTTATTCATTTTGATTTTTTGCTCTGGTTGACACCACGTGGTTAAATGTGTGGCTAAGAACCCTTTTTCAGTTTGTCTTATTAGCGTAGTCATAGAAGCTGGGATGTGCGTGTAATGGACATTGGCTCAGAATGAGAACTCGGAGAGCCGAGTTCGAATTCCAGTGGAGTTTGTTGGATACACTTACGCACAAATACCCTTGGGAAAGGTATGAATCCATCTCTACTATGGGTTGAATAGCAGGACAGACTGGGTTTTTGGTTGGCAACCAGTGTACCGCAGGAAGAAATGGCAACCTACTGCGGGAAAAGAATCTGCCTCGTCAGTCATGATCGTCTAATCGTGTATCATGTATGGCATTTAAATGACTAAATAGAAGCTGATATGCGAGAATATAAGATGAAGCGTGCTTAATAATAAATAAATTTTATATATAAAGTACAGTATATGTGCTTCTGTTTGTGCGTGTGTTTGCCCAAGCAACTCTTCTGCTCCCACTTGTCCGATTTCAATGATTCATAGCTCATTCAAAAGTTAAGCACATGGAATGATTTTTGTTGAGCTCAGATTCAGGGTTGCCAGATTATGCGAGGTTAAAAATATATATTAATATATTATACTAGCCAATATTTTTGCTTTCCTGGTTTAAGGGGAGTAACTCTTATTTTCCAAAATTGCAGTGCACGTTTTAGCTAAAAGCCTATCGGACGGCATTTATGCTAGCTCTTGTGGAGGACTCTCGGTTTGTCCATAATCGCAATAGCTAGGGAGAAGTAGATGCTATAGGCATCAACAGAAGAACTCAAAATTAATGTTTAAGCTTACCTTTTAAAAGTTCAACGATAATTCTTCTGCTGCCAATTAATTTAAAGACGATTTGACGCACGTATTTTCTGTACAAACAATTATTTTGGTTTCATGAGTGACAGAACAGGGCAAAATTCATAAGATAAAATTAATATAGTGTAAAGATGGGAAAATAGAAATTAGAATTAGTTATAAATTCAACATTTGAAGAGTTAGAGAAACATAATAGCTAATTAAGTAAAACCTAAATTGTGGAATTTAGATGAATAAATGCGAAATTGGAGCGCAAGTTTCCAACGAATTCTTGTGGGGGGGTGAAATAAGTACCAAATCTACTTTACAGTAATGTACACGCGAAAAGCTCAATATCGGTATTATATATTATCTACTTCTAGGTAATATCACTCTTCAGGTTTAACTAATTTTCA